TCAAAATTAGCCCTTGATTCAGCAGCAACGACTGTGATACATAAGCTTAACATTTAAGAGTAATGAGCACCTTGTGTTCTCCTCCGTCAGAGATGACATCTCTCTGGATGACTGGTTGTAAATATGTCTTATCTGTACATAAATGTTCTTTGAAAAGTCGAAGAATTCTTGAAACTTAAATGATTTTTACACATTTTTCTCCTCTTTTGAAGAATATGAGCCAAACTTGACATTTTCCCTAATTTTTCAGTTTCCCAGAAGAATAAAATTATTATCAGTGAATTAAAGTCAAACTTCTGTGCCCTTTACTGGTCACAGTCAACAAGTTTACCTTCAGCCCTTGAAAGAAAGGGTAGTCTTGCTTTTAAGTAGTAGTCTCTCTGAGAATATAAGGACTTGGAAAGTCTACAAGAACACATTCCTAGGGGACACCAGATTTACTGTGGTCAGGGCACTAGTAAAATTTGGAGACATGCCTTGTATGTTTAAGATGCGCCCAGCCTTTAAAGAGCTATATCCTGGCATCCTGAAGAAGATATAAACAAGAAAACCAATATGCCACTTTCATAAGCATTGTGACAGCATAAGCAGAAGATGCCAGGTGTGGGGCAGAGTGCTCGAAGGAGAAAGAAAGCATAACTCCCCCAAAAGGATGTTATAATGATTCTTTCCAGATCTACAAAATCCAGATTCAAGGCTGTTTGGCTGATGTGGGGTATGGATAGAGACTAACTTGAGATTGAGTGCTGTGTATGGGTACACAGGAGCTGCAGATCATTCACACTCACTCTCACTTACTGTGCTACAGCAGTGTTTCTCAAAGTATGGCTCTGGGTGCCCTCAAAAGAACTCCTGATGCAAAAATGGAAGTGCTTTCCTCAGTTCTTAAAGGCAAATGAGAATTAATCTCATAGATTTTCACTTTTATACGTGGCCAAAAGCTACTAAGTGAGTTATTAAGAATCACTAAAATTTTGCATTTTTCCGAACCTCTTGTTTAGTATGTAATCATGAAATCTGGCTGCCACACAAAATTTGGCCATGCTGTAATGTCCGACACAGAAAGGAGGAATTCCTACAACTTCAGAATGACAACTTCTTTCTAGTGCTTCATCAGCCCCAGTGCTTTCAATCGCTGCTGTCTTTGTGTTCATTAACATAATTATAGAATTGTTCTTAGGGTTTACCTTAGTTAATCATTTTGCCTGTAATTACTGCATTGCTACTGCTTTGATATTTATTTTGTTCCTCTTCAAACTGAGTTCTTTCACCATTGGAAAAAAAGAGATAGTGTGGGCAGGTTGTGGCACCTTGTTTTGTTCTGCTCTGAAAGTCTAAGTATTGCCCTAGAGGAAGTGTTTGGTCCCACCTGGCTGGTCCAAGAATGATGGCCTGGACATTCTATATGTCCAGAGGCTATCTCTGACCCTATGTTTAAACCATTCTATCCCCACCGCCTCCTTGAAATTACTGGACTCCAAATCATCATGAATTTCTCCTCCCATAAGTCATAACATCAGTTGTATTTACTGCCTACATGTTACTGGGTCATAATCAGCTATGGGATGTCTTAACACCAAGACTTAAGTATCCTGAGAGCAGAGACAAAGTTTGACATCTATATATCTTAACACAGAATGAGGAAAGGGCCCATGGTACAGAAGCTAGTTACAAAGGCTCTTTACTGGGCACTTGTGGTCTGATCTGATGGTTGGGAGGGAGCGGAAATGGACACAGATGGACACAGAATCTATTGGACACCACCCCTTAGCAGTTCTCCAGGTTCCCCAAAACCCTGTCCATGAAGTCTGGCATGGCATCTCCTGCAGCTATAAAGGAACAAGCTGACAATGGCTTCTGATGGTGGACATGAGGAATTGCTGCTCATGCACCAAAAAGCAGGCATGGAATGTCTGAGGGCTCTTGATTTTCAGACATTGCTGCTGGCTCCTCTCTTCATCTGGATCCTCAACATTCTTAAATCACCATCTGGCCACCTTAAATCACAGCCAGAAGAATCCCGAGAGTTATGTGGATGAACACACTCCCTTCCCTGCCCTGTGCCTGTTCCAGCCTGGATTAGGGCCCCATTTGGGATACCCCTGTGTCTCTTGCTCTTGAATGGGTATGTGCTGTCTTCATGTTGCCCTGTTCTGGTTCCTATTTGAGTCCAGGCCCTAAGTCCTTTGCCACAGGCTATGATTTCTCATCCCTAACCAGCTAGTCATAGGCCTTTCTGGTTTTTGTCCTGGACCATTTTCAATTGATTCCTGGAAACAATTCAAGCCATGCCACAAAGTATGGAAATAATCTAAAATCTCACTTAAAAGGAGGCACGAATCTTAGCTGGAAGGAGATGCTGCTCCATCTTATATGCCTAAAGTACTGTAATAATTGTACTTTGGACTGTGAGCCTTGAGTCTTATGGTTTTTACAGTAGATTTATTCACTCAATCTTCAAACAATGAACGATCTATTTGATCAAATCATTAAACAATCCATGGTAAGGATAGATGACAAAGTGGTGGACCAAGAAGAAGGAAACCAATCCAACCAGTGAGGGGCTGGTCCAGGATATGTATTCCTTATGAGTCCATTGAATCAACCAATGTTAAGACATGCTCTCCTTCTGTGACCACAAAACATGACCATGGAAGTCTCAAAACTGACATATTTGCAGGAGAGGAATTGATGAGTCAAAAGCAAGCCAGCATAATACCTCTCCTACAAGAAATAAAGATCGTTCCTTGGCTTAAAACAATGACTATACTCATTCAGAATTCAGATCAATTACCCGGACAATTTAGGTTTTCACATTTCTGTAGAATAAGGACTAATCAGCTTCTCTGAGTGGTTTTGCATTATTAGAATTTGTTGGAGAGAAGAATCATTAAAGGCCTCACTGAGAAAATCAAGTAACAAAAAATTTGTTCTGGTTACTCTGATACCTTTTCGACATTTTATTAGGTTGATATTGTTCCCTGTTACTGTAACCATAGATCCAAGGCTACGAAATTAACCTCACTGCCAGATAAGACTTCAGGGTCATCTCAGAGTGAATTTTAAAACAGCATTCCTTTGACCTTTCAAAACCAAGTTCTTCTAAAACTGGAATTGAGGTTAAATTTAGGTCGATATGGATTTCATAAAAACAAAACTCTTTAAAGTTTGCATTAAAAATTCATGTGTCTAACTGAACAGCTTTGGTTGGGTGATGATAATAAGTATTACAAAAAAATCAATTTTCCTCCTCCAGGCTTTCTCACAAGAAAGTTCTGCAGCTTCGTCCCAAACATATTGAAATATTTCAGCTCAGCTTGGCAACACAAGCAGGACTGAGTATAATGATCAGTCTTCAGCTGGTTGCATTCTGTCATAAATAATAGCAAGTGTGTATAGCCATGATTCAGGCCAGTTCCTGCGGATGATGTCACTTTGTCATCTTCCAGGTTCCTAGGACTCATTCTATGGTCATAAATTCCACTGTGTTTTATTCTTACCCTTTTGTTATTTTATGCAAATATGTTAAAAACACTAGATACTATTCTGTTATTTTAACTCAAAACAGCTCCTCTCTTTCTTTCCACTATAAAGAAATCTTTTTGGTAGAACTAACTCGAGAACGTTCTGGTAAGTAAGCATAAGCATGACACAAGTAACATTGGCATTACTCATGGGGTTGTCTCACAAAACATTCTGTTCTTCGTTATGTCTACAGGAAAAGACAGCAGGGTCCCATTGCTCTGCTTGCCTCCACCATCTACATGATCAGATCTCATTCTAACACCCACTGGGAGCGTGCAATCTTTCTGTAAGGTACAATGGGATGAAGGGGTGAAACAATATAACAAGTAGGTAACAGTACTGACTTTGAAGTCAGACCTCCTTTTTTAGGATGTGTGATAGATGGGGTAAATCAGTCTCTATAAGACATCTCAAGAATGGGGGCAATAATTGGGTATCATGAGGCTTAACAGAAACGATGGATATAATGCTTTTCACACAGTATCTGGCATGTGGTACATGATTATAAATGTTTCTAGTGTTCAGCACATAGCAAATGATTAATAAATATTGGTTGAATAAATGAGTGGATGAACAAACGAATGAATGAATGGACAATCAGCCCGATAAATACCTGTTTTATGTCCCCAGGATAGATTCCTTTCCTCTAAACTTAAACTTCTGCTTAAAAGAATGTAATAGACTGTGCATGGTGGGATCCTATAATGTTAGATAAAGTAGATTGCTCTCATTGCCTCCTCGGACAAAGAGTGATGGCTTGGGCTCTTTCTGCTGCAGAATTCCCGCACCAGTCCACAGGCGTCAGGTCTGCAGATGGAAGTTGAGGCTGAGCCCTCACTAGGGGATCTTTATTGATGGCATCTGATTAAAATGAAAATACGTTCACAGGCCCTGCTTGTAGTGCCTCTTTGGTGGCAGATACAGTTTTGAGCCTACCCGTCCATCGTCCACATCCAGAGAGTTATTACTGGGTTCTCTTGGTCTGCCTTACACAAAGGTTACTGGTTTCCAGGCCTGAACTCCTGGTTCCTGCCTTCTTTACGCTTCCAAACCTCCTCAGCAACTTGCTCCTCTGATCCTCACCTCAGGAATATCTCATCACTTTTTGTGACATCTGGGTGGCGAAACTGAGGCATGGAATGTGGGAGGGCTCCCTGGCCCCCAAGATCAAAAGCTCTTCCAGGCCCCCTCCCAAGCATCTTTCCTCCCCAGCCCTGTCTTTCCCCAACTAAGAAGGTGATCAGAAAGGGGATGGCAGGCAAACATCCTCAATGGCTTTCTGACTGGTTACAGAATAAGACAGGCCCCAAAGCTTGGCTTTACATACCAGAAAACCTCTGTACCGGAAATACTGGTCTAAATTCAAGACCCAGATACTTAAATGCTTCTGAAATTCCAGATTCCTTCTGTGGAAGTCTTCTTTTAACCATTTTATAGTTGCCTTTTTAAGACAGAGGAAATGGTTTTTCACTCACCTTTTTTCTTCCAACTACTGTTCAGCTTTGGGGACGTATTTCAGTTCACTTTTAATATTCTGGATCTCCGATAGGTTGACCGCAGGTCCTGGAAGTTTCTTTGCTCCTGGAATTGGCTTCTTCTCCTCATCCGAGGTAGGAGGAACACCCTAAAGAAAAAGAAAAGAGAAGAGAGATTCAGCTTACTGAAAAAGACATCTGGTCTCTCTGGGTCAGGGACATGAACCAGACAAAAATCAAAGTAAAAGTAATGTCAGAGAGTAATTCTAGCAGAGTGACTTTTTCTTGTGCTGTTGAAACACCCTCATAGTTTCAAGAAGATCTGAAGTTTGTAGAGGAAGGTGGAATAAAGTTGGAAGAAGAAAACAAATAATCTCCACCTGACTTAGAAAACACTAGAGTACTGTTTAGTGTCTGATTACTAATAAAAATTACAACCAGTTAGAAGGATTCGTGTTCCAAAAACCAGAATCTCACAAGATCAAATTTAATTTAATATCATATAATCATAATATGCCTGACCAGCAGAGATTTATAGAACATTAGTGCAAGTCTGGCTCGAACAATGACTTAGTCCAGGAGTTTTCAAATGTTTTTTCAGGGATGCAGTGGCTGCCAGACTTTGTTCCAACGACATCTCTGGGAAGCATAAACAAACCACAACTGACATCAGCAAAACTTCTTTGAATATGTGTGAGATAAGATGGAGCGACAGAGGAGACCCAGCTCTCCCCTCTTGCTTTGAAACGTATTTTAAATTTTCAATCATTTTATGTTTTTATTTTGTTGCAGCTTTAGGGCAGGACCACATCTTATACCTTGTTTGTGGTTCCCCCAATGCCTAGTACAGAAGTGCATATGCATATTTGTTGATCATTGTTTATCTGATTAATCCCAGGAATATATCATAGTCACAAATCTACGCCTATATGTCCATACACCAAAAATATATATTAATGGTGACTGTAAAACAATAAGATTAGTTGCTGTGTGTGGCTCCTAGAACTCCAACTCATTACTACAGAAGAAAGCTGTTTTTGTTAGCTCATTCCTCCAATTTCTAGAGGTCAGGGACATATTCTCTGCGGCCCTGGAAGGAAGGTGTTGGAGGAACATTTGATCACCGTGGCAGCCAGGAGAACACGCCTCTCAGATCAGTTTCCTGCTGGGACAGTAATTGAATGACAGCTCCAGCTGCAGCGCCCTGTAAACCCCGCCCATCACCACTCTGAGGTCATTCTTCCCACGGCTGCCTGTGCCCAATGACTAAGTGCCACAGAATCCTAAGGCGGACCCATTCCTGGGAAACAGGTGACTCCTCTGAGAGGGACTTCAGCTTGAGAATTTTCTTTGGAATAGCGCTGAGGTCTAAGATGCTTCTGCCCGACCCTCTGTCCCACTCTCCTTCATCTGTGTCATAGTGTGAGGACCTTCCCATTTTCCTTACAAGTGTTTGCCCCAATACATATTTTGCATGTCTCATCCCATCATTGAGTCTGCTTCTTGGAGGACGCAAACTAACACAGTCCCAGTATGAGATTGGCAGAGCTCCACCTGTTTAGCTAACACCTGAGCGAACCAACACAGTTCCGGGAAAAGGAATAAGACCGTACCTTTGCCTCAGGTTCCAGCCTTATGCCCACCCTCATTGCCAGCGTAACTAGGCAGCCCTGTAACTTGGGTATTAAAGCTGATGCTGTGCCCTCATCTGGCTCCTACATCTAGTTCTAAAATTGTCTAGACCCTAAAGGGAAAGGGAAGAAAATGTTCAAGCTTCTCAAACTCTAACCAATTACTTGGAAGACCTGTCCGTTATAGAAATGTTTTTAAATTGCTTATTTGAGGGGATGAGTAGAAATATAAAATATGGAGGTGCTGTTCTTCTACTGAAGGCTAATAGTTTTTCCTAGCATCATATTCTTTGACTCTGGCACAGTGCTGATGAAATAGCTAATGTGTCAGCCACATAAAATGATAAAGTAATTCAATGCAGACTGTGCCTGCTGTAAATATCTGGAAAATATCATTTCCCCAGGTCAATGTACAGAGCCACAAGATCGGCTTCCTTTCATGCACACACATTCATCATTTATAAATGCAGGTTTAGAAGCAATAATTAAACTGCTAAACTTCCACTTGGAGAACCAGGTATTCCAAAATGTTCTTAGCTAGGCTTTTGGAAATTTTAAACACGGCTATAAAGTGTTTTTTTGTTGTTGTTGTTGTTGTTGTTGTTTTTTAATATCTATAGCACTGAAATGAAAAATGTTTCTTCACTTATAAATGTCCCCATGGTTGGTAGGTGGGTAGATCTTAATAAAGAAGCATGAAGGAGAAAAATGTTTCCAATTTCTTCTGTTAAGTTCCCAGGTAAGTCACATTCACTATCTTTGTAATATCAAAATGTGCTATGTTGACACATTTAACACATAAAGCCAATGTGTGTAGTTATGTGTCTATATGCAAAGATGTATTATGTGAATACACACAGATATAGGATGATATTTATTATTAGATACTTTCAAGATATTAAAACCTCAATGCACTGTGTTTTTTTAATCAAGGTAAGACTTTTAGCACCTGATTTGGTAAGTTCACATGTAGTGGAAAATTATAAGTAGATGTATTTAATAAGTAGATAATATGATATTGACTCAGGAAAGAGGTTTGTGATGGTATATTCTTAACTGAATCTTTTCTCATCTTTTAAAAATAATGACAATCGGATTCCATTTCTTCTATAAATTTGTTATTATAAGAATTATAATAAATTAAGACATGAGCAAGCAGGGTTCCAGATGGCTTTTTGACTAAAAAGTACATTTTTTCTTTTTTTTCACCTTATAACAATGTTTTATGTATGTATGTATGTATGTATGTATGTATGTATGTATGTATTAATTAATTTATTTTTTATGGTAACATCGGTTAACGAAATCCGATATTTCAGCTGCACACTTTAACAATAAGGCATATATACGTTTACACTGTGTGTTCACCTCCCATAGTTAGATTTCTTTCTGTCACCACGTTTGACCCCCTTTACCCTGTCTAGCTCTCCCCTCCCCTTAACCTCTGGTAACCACTTGTCTATTGTCCATGTCCCTGAGTCTCTGTGTGTCCTGTTCATTTGTCGCTTTTAGGTTTATATCCCCCATATAAGTGATATCATGTGATTTTCAAAGTTTTCTGTCTGGCTTATTTACATTTTCTCTTTTGTAAGTAGATATTTGAATTGAGAAAGGATGTGGAAGACATCCTTTGGTTTTGATAAAAAGAGCTGGAGAGAAGGCTTATCAGCCCCAGACCATTCCCAGGCTCAGGGATAGATGTTATCAAGGGAAGTGTTCCCTTTGTGGGTGATGGAGTATTTGTAAAAGTTGGCTCAATAGTGAACCATTTTCCAGCTATCTGGCCTTCATCTCCCTCTTCACTACCAGATACCCTATTGAGTTTTCTCCACACTCTCCTATGTGGGTCAGTGCAGTCTGACATGCTCACTTGTGCTCAAACACCGAAGACGTAATAATAACACCAAACACATACATTATTAGCTATTCTAAGTTACACATACTAATTTAATCCTCACATCAACCTATAAATCTGGTACTATTATTACCCCTATTTTACAGTTGATGAAACTGAGGCAGAACTGCTGCACAGCTAGACTGTGCTGGGAACGGAATTAAATTGTGTGTTTGCATCTTGTAAAGGGATCAGATGGAGAAGGCAATAATTAACAAAATCCCAGCATGCCATTTTGTGGCTTAATGATGGAATTTCAGTCAAAAGAGAGTGTTGGGAGGCAGAGTAGGGGCTTGCCAGTACCCTTCAAATCACTTCAAGCAAGCAGCTGTTTTGCCTTATACAAAAGACCAGCCGTGCTTATTAGGATTTGGCTGTAAGGCCTCTGTGCTGGGCATACGCCAAACTCTGGCTGAGCAGAGTGCACTCCAGCTCTGTGAGCAGAGCAAAGGGCTCACAGAGACCATGGGTGGGCTGGAGACCCAGCCAGTGTTCATAGGCCTTGTCAGCTGGCCAAAGGCTCATCCTTACTTCCTGTTGGGTGGGGTACATCCTCTTCCTCACATCTGAGACAGTGTCAGGATTGAGATGGGGGAGCTACTGGCTGTGGTAGAGGTGGCCTGTTCATTCATGGATGGTATGTTATGATTTCCACTTAATCCCGTGATGATTATAATGCAAGAGTAGGTAACAAATCTAAACTCTAAAAAGATAAGCAATTCCAAGTTTGCAAACTGGAGAATAATAAAGAGTGTGTCTGTATGTTTTTGGAATTCAGAGTTCATTTTCCCATTCAAACTATGTTCCAAAGGTGGTTGGGGCCACAAGTGAGCCCACAAAATCCCACTTAACCCACCTTGTAGCCAAGCCAAGCTGCCTAACTGCTCCCTTTAACATGTTGTTTCAACTTACCCTAAGGTCCAGCCCAGGACTTGAGTCATTAGATCCCACCCCTCCCTAGGACCCCATAAGTCCCAAGGGATCATTTTTGTTCTTCCAATAAGGAAATGCAACCCCTAGCCCCACCATCCTGATCCATGAGCTCCAGAAGAAAGGTGTAGCTCAGTTCAAGAAATACTTCTAGGGTCTCTGTGGATACCTCACTCCCTTCCATCTTACAAAGAATATTGGTTGGCCATTTGTATATGTGGCTGGTCATAAAGTAGTTCAAACCAAGTTGGATCAGTTCTTGATTATTTTAGAATGCGCTGCAACCATCACATTAGGGACAGGCAGGAGTACAAGCAAAGAGCTTTCCCAAACCCCTAACTGAGAAATGTGTGGAGGAGATGGCCGTCCGTACCTCAGAGCAAAGCTTAGATGCAAGCCTACAAAACAACTGTTACATCAGTCAATTTAGTAAGAGAAGAGAGTCAAGCTACTTTCTGACATTGCCATGGTAGTGACAGTCAGAGCTTAAGAGGAAACACGGGGGTGGGGGGAATCCGATTACAGATAAATGGAGATTTGGGAAGAATTCCACTGCCCTCGCTTCTACCTCCTCATGCCTTTTTCTTACAACATGCAGAATGATAGGCCCGGGAGTCCTTCATGAAAATTGGATAATTAGATTGACCGAACAATCATTTATTGAATACCTGCTAGGCTATGCCATGTCCGTTATATCACCAACTCTTTTCTCGCAGTGAACTTCTAAGGAATGGAAGAGATCGTATTTTGCAGACAGACTCAGAAATACTTGACCAAAGTCCTAGAGGAAGAGCTCATGATCATAAATTAACTGGCTAGCCAAGTTAGCAGCATCAGAACTGGAGATTATGCACCATAAGAAAAGGTAAGGCTGGGTCTTTTCAACTTGTATGTTCAAATTTTGTACTTATCAAAGGTGACTCAGTGGCTGAAATTCCAGAACTTGGTGATATCACTCAAATATTCCATCTCCTTTCAAAAATTATCTATTGATAGGAGGCTGGCACCACTAACATAAGACCATGTCAGGAATTATTTATGGGGAAAAAAGGTTAGATGAAGGACAACTAAAGTTTTATTAGGAAATCTTGAAATGATGATAGGTGCTCTTTGGGGGCAAATATCTGAAATGTCACCAGCAAAAGTTAAAAAAAGCTTTTTTGCCTTTTTTAAAAGATGAAATACAGTTCGCTGTGCCCTGTGGCTTTATTTAATTCCATTTGCCTTGTCTTGTGCTAACGACATGCTCCAAAATCTTAATTATTTTCTTCAGAATCAGACCTTCCAGGTTTCATCAGAAAAGTCACAATTGGGAAAGAAATACAAACATTCAGGGAGGGAACTTTATTTATTGTACTCATTATTAATTTTATCTTTTATTTTAGAAGACCAAGTATTTGAATTTGGAGGAGAGGTAAAGAATTTGAGGGAGGAAAAAATACAAAAATTGATAGACTCCCTTGCAAAGTCCTCTTTTCAAAGGAAATACCCAGAGATTGGGCCTTTTAGTTTGAATCCATAAGTAATTTAATGTGCTTATTGCCTGTGCTCCCACTGGGGTTCATCACTCATCAGAAGCTGTACTAAATACAACCTGCTAAGTTCAATAAAAGCTCCAGAGTGAAAGCAAGCTAGTGACTGTTATGGAGCAAGAGCATTTGAGCAGCTATGCTCCCCTACCATACGCACACACACACGCACACACACATGCACACATGCACAGGCACACACAATCAACAAACTACATGTTAAACTCATCGCCTTCAAGTAACTGTGCCAGACACTTAAATTTGGCTGAGGGGAAGTGAGGGACAGTGTGTTTCATGGCTGATTGAACAAGACAGCCAAAGGAGTGTGTATACTATGTGATGACTCTTTGACCCACGTCCATTAGTGCCCTCCCTTGTCTTGGAGAGCCGGCCCT